TGATACAGAAGCATTTTCACCTCTGTGTTACATCAGCTTATCTTTTAACAACACTTAACAATCGTTTATGGACTGAAGACACTTATTAATCAAGTTTTGAAAGCAGAATTTCTTGCCATTCTTCCGTTAGTCTAAGTCTTCAGCTCTCCAGCCATACAGGGCTTTCAATGTATTTTGCTCTTCATAATACGCCACGTTTTCAGTGGGAGACTCGTCTGGACTGCAGGCAGGCCTGTCTAGCACCCACACTCTCTGATTATGCAGCTATGCTGTTGTAACACATATTTCATGTTGAAATAAGCATAGACGTCCCTGAAAAAGACATTGTCTTGAAAGCAGTATATTGTCGCTGTCCAAAGAAAAAATATGTATCTCCTTTTTTTGTCAATTTTTAGTTTTCTGCATCATTTGAGCATGGTGGCTGTCCTTTACATTGAGTAAATAATTCATGGTGAGTGGACCAATAGAAATGCTCTAAAATGGCTTGGAATAAAATCTCTTCATGGTGACTTACATTAAAAGTAAAGAATGTTTTTGGCCTCTCCCGTAAAGTTACCATTTTTGAGATACTTATTTTTTTTGGGCAGTGAAGATATGTTACTTTAAATGTGTACATATCTTTCGCCTTAATAGTTAAAAGTGCCTTTAAAGAAAGTTACCTATGTCATGGACATTAATACGGCCCCATACCATGACAGACTCTGGTAATAATCTGAATGGTCCTTTTTTCTATACAACGTCCATTATTTCCATCAACATTCTGAAAAGTTGACCCACCAGACCACAATACACATTCACACTGTGCATCAGTTCATTTCAGATGAGCTCAAGCCCAGAGAAATTGCCAGTGTTTCTGGGTGTTGTTAAAACATAGCTTCCACTGTGCATAGTACAGTCTTAACTTGCGTTTGTGGATGCTCTGATAACATCAGGCATCGTAGAAGGTAAAATTCCTAAAATCTTTGCTGTCACTCATTGACGGACAGTCTTATTCTGTTGGATTATTCACTGTGGATTATTGGCAAAGTGGTGAGCCTCGGCCCGCCTTTGTTTATAAAGAACTAGGCCTTGATACTTCTTTTATGTCCAAGCTTAATGGCATCACTTATTTACAATATTCTTTGAATGTTCCTAGTCTTAAGTTGTCCCAGTCACAACTTTTTTTTAAATGTGTTGCTGGCATCAATTTTTGATGAGTGTATATTTGCAAAAATCAGTGAAGCTGATAAGGTAAAGCATTTAATATCTTGTTTTTAAGTGACATTATTGTAAAAAGCCCTATAAAGATTGACTTGAGCCAATACGTTTCTCCCTCTTAACCTGTATATGTTCTGTAGTAGCTTTGGCATTTACACGTACCTTCTCATGCTGTCTATAGGTATAGTATTTCTTCCTAATTGCTAAATGGTGTAAAAGACACAGTATATAAAATAAACCTTTAAACAAGTGACAGTTATGACTATATCACTTTATTTGATATTTTGAAAAATGCTACAAGTTATTTAGGAAATGAGACGTCTGTACAAAATCATGTATTTTGCAGTCGCCCCGTACAGTCCAGATGTGTAATGGATCCAGGTATGGAGCTGTTCAAATGAAGATTGGCTTCAGACAGCAGGCTCAGATGTTCCTCTAGCCCTGTTTTCCTGATTAGAAATCTGTTATGCAGTGTGCTGATCCTGTAATTTCACTCACAGATTATGGCAGTGGGAAACAGAAGTCACAAGCAAATCAAGAAGCAACTTTAGAGGCCTGAAATACGGCTGTCTGCATTTTATAAGTTCCAGGTTGGACGTGTCGCGAGAGCTTTCACAATTCTCTCTCTCTCTCTCTCTCTCTCTCTCTCTCTCTCTCTCTCTCTCTCTCTCTCTCTCTCTCCCTCTCTCTCTCTCTCTGAGTCTCTGTATTTAGCTTCCTGTCTTTGCTTTTTCATCCTGCTTTTCCAGTGTACCAGCCAGTTCATGTTTCTGGGCCTGCATCTTGTTTAAAGCGCCCGGGTCGTCTTGTTTTCCTAAATCAAACTCCTCGCTGCCTGGGACCTGTCTCCATTTTTCTATTTATTCTCAAAATGCCAGACAAACTGGGAGAGGACGACCATAAGAGTGGAGGAAAAATATAAAAAAAAAAAAACGCATCAAAAAACAAATTGTATTGCATGGAGAAGGCTGCCAAAAAGAACACATCTGGTTTGAGTTCTCAATTTCTTTTATGACAAGGAAATTAAATGACATATATAACAATGTACCACCCCATGAGGGTTTGGGCTTCAATTTTGCAGGCTTTCACCTCCTCTTTTCTGCTCATTCATGTGTTAGAAGCCATGACTGAAGGCCTCTGATGGGTAGGGAGGCAGCTCATTTTTACACAGCGTGCAGTAGTATGGAATATTATTTTTAAAGAAATGCAGTGGAAATTCTTTTTCCTCTGTGGCTAAGTAAGAATAATTAGTGGTGCGATGGGACAACCACAACATCCTGTCAAAAGACCCTCACACATTGCATCTTCTTGTATTTTTATGTTGCCCATTACAAGTTAGACGCTTGGGTCTTTTCCTTCATCCGAGCCCTGGGCGTTCGGTGACCTAACAGTATGGTTTTATACATAAAAGTCTGATTTTCACGGGTTTTTTTATACTGGTACAAGTGAGTGATCCAGAACCTCACCCTTAAATAAATGTAATTATGTAGTTGTGACCATGTATTATTACTGGCAGACTTAATGGTTATGGCGCTCTCTGACTGTGCAGAAAAAGTGTTAACCTCATGTTAAGCATGCGTAGTAAACTGAAAGTAGCAGAGATAAGTATTTGGTAAGTTACACTCTTAAAAATAAAGGTGACAAAAAGGGATCTTTGCATGAAAGCCATAAGGCAAACCACTTTTGGTTCCCTAAGAACTTTTCAGTGGATGGTTCTTTAAAGAATCATTATTGGAAATGAGATATGTGATTGTAAAGGACCTTTTAAAAGTTTAAAGAACCTCAACTTGTTGTGAAGGTTTTGGCTTAGCACCTTTACATTCTTTACATTCTGGGGACAAATGCTTTGCACAGACCACTGCAGTCACAAACATTACATGAATGAATATCCATTAAATAGGTAAGAGTATATAAGAGTATGATAGAGTATAACAGTAATATGGTTAGTTTGTTAATGTTGTATATTATGTTATATATTAGTAATTCTGACTGGCACATATAATTTGAATACTTGAGTATTTGTTGATATTCTGTTCTATATTTAGTGATGGTTAGTACTGGGCACTACATCTTTTTACTGCATATTTCTTGCCGAGACGCTTCTAGAGTGGTCACCCTCCCTTGTTCAGACGGGCCTGTGGCTTTCAAAGCTCCGAAGTCCTCTGCTTCAATCGCTGTAGTTAAGAATATGCAACTAAAACTGAGCTCAACAGATGAAAAAACAGCAAACTAGCCTCATAAAATAACAAGTAAATAAAATGAACTAAAACTGAAACTGTGGTATGATAAATAAAATGCTAATTCTAATTCATTACACTGCCTGTGTAACTAATAAAAGCTGTACTTGAATGAGAGGGCTACAGTACATTGTTACCACCTACTGGATATATGTTGAACTTTAGTAATTATCATATTTAACATTACGGGGAAATTTTGAAAGGTCAGTATTACTGGTTATAAGAGTGATTTTGAGAATGATACGAGTACTTAATCTGAAATACGAAGGAGTATTCAAAGCCTTCGAAATGCTGTTCAAGCAAACACTATTATAGACTCATGAGATTTTGTTGTTGCTATTCTAATGGGATATTTCTAACAGTGCTTTTGCATTACGACTCGGTTTGGCTTGAAAGAAAAATAAAAGGAGTTATGATTTAAGTTTGTTTAAGCTCGTTTAGATGTGCAGTTCTTTCACCAAATGTACAACCTGTTAACCGTTGTGAAATGTAGACAATACAATATTTCACATTATTGTGGCTCATTTAGTTTATTATTAAAACAAAAAAAGTTTCTTTGCTCAAAGTGCACGTAAACATGATTGTGTACTATAAATCTCACTTTTTAGGTCCTGTTTTTGTTTGTTTGGGAGGTCCTTATGCTTGTGCCCAGGAACCTTGCAAGACCATGATCCATCTCTGCTTCTATCGCGTTGTTTTTTTTTAAAATTAAATTAAATTAATGTAAAATGTAATTTAATTTCCAACATAATTAGTTTTTAGAAAATAACATCCCTTTTTTGTCACTGTCTTGTATATTACTGTAATATTGAGCAATGAGCCTATTATCGTGATGATTAATTACATTAAAAAAAAAAACCAGCTAAACAATAAAAATTGATTTGAAAACTGAAAAATAACAATCCATGCAGAGATTTCAAAATACTCTTATTAGAAAGATGAACATGGAAGCCTGGAAGAAAATTATACATAAAAATTTTGTGTGAAAAAAGGGTGTGTCTATTAGGCTCTGTTTCTGATTGAGAAAGAGACCAGAATTGCTGATTCATAGATAAGGAAAATTTTTATATTTGCTTTTTTTTTTTAAACTGAGTAATCAAGTATAATGGAGTAATCGTGACAGTTCTTCTTTGCATCTTCTTTAACTGCACGTGGAGCCTGTGTTGTGCTGCATGCTACCTCACTGAAATTTGGAGTCTAATTCAACAAAGTCCACAAATTTCTCTAAATATATTCATAAACCACTTGTTAACCACACTCGACTGTGCCTTTTTGTGTCTCCATTTCCAGTAGACTAGAATGGTGTCTTATAACCCACACGACCAGAAATACTTAGATTAAACATAAAAGAAAAAAGCCTCACATTCCAGCCAGTGTTGTCTACAAAACCGGAAAACAAGGGCCTGCCTCTTGCCTCTGTGGAGCTGGAGTGCTAATTCATAACAGATTCTCCCCTCCCTCACTCTCTCTCTCCCTCTCTCTCCCTCTCTCTCTCTCTCTCTCTCTCTCTCTCTCTCTCTCTCTCTCTCTGTCCCCCTCCCCCCGCCTCCTCTCTTCCTCTGACAGAGTGCCTACCGCAGGAGCGGCATGACTTTCCTGGCTTGCTGAAGAGCAGGGAGAGGAAGTGATGGAGGGATGCAGCAGAGGAGTGCACGTCGCAGCGCCTCTCTCACCTCATCTGTCCGTCCGCCGCGGGAGCTCAGTCTGAGAGCACCCTGCAGCCGCGTTTCTGCCGCCTGCCTGTAAGCCTGTTTACCAGCCCTGCTGCTCTGTTCGTTTAGTGAGGAAGAGTTGCAGGCTGTGTAGGCTGGCAGGAATGCAGGCAGCGGGACTTTTTGTTGGCGCCTGTTTACGTCTTGCCGCCATACCACCTTTGAGTGATTCACAACGCTAGTCAGTCATTTGGGTCACTATTTTTTATTCATTTGATTTGTTGTTTTTGATTTGTTGCTGTTACTGTTTTTGTATCTTTTACTGGTACACTACTTTATAAAAATCTTTTTTATATTAACACACATTATAATTAAGAGCATTTTCCATCTCTTATAAAGTTACCAGAGTTGGAGGAGGTTTTGTTGTGACAGCAACATTTACAGTAATATATGGGCATTTTTTTCATTCGTCTTATAAATGCCAGACATAATGGATTGTTCCTCTCAAATGTTCTAGTTATGTTCTTTGTTTTGTTGAATCTTTGTCATTCTAATTTTTTAAGTGCATATAGCATCACCATGTTCAGCCTTTTTTGAGGAAATAAACTACTCAGAACAAAAGCAATGAAGGAGTGCTGTCTGCATAGCGATTCGACTGTGCATATCACATTAGCAGAGCCGGGAGCTGGCCCTTGTGTTTATTTGCGGATATCACGCTATAGACATGCTGAGGGTCTGGCTCCAATAAGGCCTTCATCACCATGTGCGCTTTAATGAAAGCAGCTTTTTCCTAGTGATAATGAAGTGACTGAGGTACTTCCATAAGTCTGTGGTCACCTTAACTTGGCAGCCTCGGAGGCGTTTTCAACACTAGCATTGCGATCGTCAACGCCATTAACCCTTAAAGTGTAGAATGAAATGTATTGTGTGTAGTAATGCACGTGGATTTCTTGGCCTGTCTCCTGCAATGAGGAGGCACCGCTGAGCGTAGGCAGCCCTTTCCAGATAAGGTTGACTTGCATCCTTCCACTGTATAATGAAAACAATACAGCACGAGAAAAGATTTCGGCTCCGAATTTTCAAAATCTGCTGAAGAGGAGGACCACAATATAAATAAACCATGAAATTGTAAGCAGCACATTACCTCATTTTCCACAATTATTTTTTGGGTTTTTTTTGTTTTTTCGCCTGGCTCCTAAAGTAAAGCCTGCTGAGGTTTACCAAGCATAGGTATCAAATAAACACCAGCAACATTGTTTTCTGAAGGGATGCAGCTGGCAAAAATGTGCTTTCCTAATCTCGCAGGTTGTATTTCACAATCGTGTATGCGTGCCTGTTGCATTCTGGTTGTCTTTCTGTTTCAGTGTCACTGCAGAGCCATTGAGGTCAACGTGTTGTCCCAGGTTGCGAATAATTTGGAGCTTAAGGCGATTGCCTGCAGTCAGAAGCTATAGAGTTCTTCATTCTCTCTGAGGGGAAAAAAGAGAAAGGCCTGGCTGGCGGCATGGAAACGCATTCAAATCAGACTGCCTGGTGTTTCCCTGCGTTCTAGTGTTTGATCACGATGCCCTCTGGGGGATTCTAGCTGTCATAATCAGGGTGCCACTAAACTCTGAGTGACACTCTAAGCACTACAGCAGCGACTGTGAGCGGCGTGTCTATCTCAGTATTGTCAGCTTCCTTTAAAGCTGACGTGTCCTGCCACAACTCCCAAACATGAGCTGTCCTGCAATGTGCTCCTTTAGTTTATTGAAAGGGAAACTACCCAGAAAAATTGCTGGTGACAGGATCTGTTTTGCTTGCCCCTGTCACCCTCTTCCTCCTGCCTTCACTTGCTCTTGCTTAACTTGCTTAGCACTAATATGAATATGAGCCTAGAGCATCTTCATCTTTAATGCCTTTAATGCGCACACATCTTTCTATCACCACCCTATAAACGTCTGTATGTGATATCCTCTATGATATTTCAAGGTGTTATCTGTTTGTGCAGTAAGCTCAGGATATCACTGTGTGCATCCTCGTAAATTACTGCGAGGAATCCTGCCTTTCTCTCAGAGGAGCCCGAGTGAGATTTACAGGCGCTGAAGTGATCTGACAGCTTGCCTTTTATTTCCTTTTATTACACTCTCACTCTCTCCACTCCTACGTCTGCTTACTCAGTTAGCGTCCCACAATCCCAGTGTAGGCCTGCAGGGAGGAGGGGAGCACCCCAGCTTTCTACATACAGTGGACATTTACGTGGTTAACTTCTAAATTATGAAATTTTCTACTTAAACACATACTTTGACAAAAAGAAAAAAAGAAAATCTACACAACTCTTTAGCCCAGTGTAGTCAGTCAGCCAAGACATATTTAGTGTCCAAAGTTTGCTTCTTTATTTTTGAACTGGAGCTCCAAGTCTAATGGTGCTAACAAGTAGTGGAAGCTTACGACAGTTAACATTGTGTGAAGTGAATGCTGAATTTATCACACTTCCCTGGAGTTATTAACTAATCTCAAATAGACTTGCTTATGTGGTTTCTGACACTGTGTGACATATTGTTTTCTGTAAAAATGAACAATAGTACATTGCATAGCCAAAAACAATAGTAGCAGCCACGTTGAATCCTTAATTTTATTCATGCTTTTTTATGCATGCTTGTGCAAACTTTTGCTTCTTGGGAGCATACCTATGTTCCCAAAGTCCTATAATGTCTTCTTTATATGCTACAACATACCTCAGTTTAGAACCCATGTGTCAAACACAATTCTCTCCGGCCTGCAGAGGTATTTTAATTTTCTATTAATATTAGCCCGTTTCACAATGCGCTGCACTACAGTCCCCAGCATGCACTGCAACGTAATGTGCTCTGACTCTCCGACCACAACAGCAATCCATGAGAAAGCGGTTACACCTCAATTCATCATATTGTACCGCCAAACACACTAGCTGCTATTCAGCTGCAGTTCAACCAACAAAAACACTTAACGTTAGCTTACCAGCTCAGAAAATGACCCCAAGAATGAATGAACTTGCATCAAAGAAATGATGCCAGGTGTCCAGTTTAAGGTAGGTTCAATGACTGAGCTCCTGAGGATATTAAAATATTGAATATTTCAAGTATTCATGTAATATTTCAAGGTCTACTACAGTACCTATATTTTACTGTTGAGGTTTTTGCATATTTGGAATGAACAATGGCCAGTTTCCGGTTATAGCACAAAATTAATTAAAAGAAACTTTTTTTTTCTCTGGCCCACGGATTGGTTGAGATTTTCTAATATACTTAATTATTCGTTGACACCCCTGGTTTAGAACATTAGGGAAATCTATGAAAAGGTTCTTACGGTCATAGTTGGGATCCTGGGGTCAACAAGGGTCATACAGGGGAGAACAAGGAGCAGATTTGCACTTGCACAAGAATGCACTTGCCCTCAGTTAGGCCAGCCTTAGACAGCTAATTAGCTAACTAAGCAAACTTTGTAATGCAAGCCTTTTTTGAAAAGTCAGAATGTATCATATATAAGCTTTGTGAATAATAGCTTGGCCTGGTTTAGGCATTGAGCATTGCCCTGATTTTTGTTGTTGCTGGCTCTGTAGCTGTTAGCTTGCTAACTGTCAAGGTAGCAGAATAAAGTAACAAACATCAGCAGACGTGTAACAGTTTACTATATGAAGCCCAGTTTCAATGTAGCAAATGGAATGTCACAGTATTGCGATATTCAGTAATGGATTAAACGGATGTTGCATCAATTAACAATGACTTGTGGGCAAGTCTATCTTTGTTGTCTCGACCCTTCACTGCTCCAAGGGTTCTCTCAAGCTAATGCTGTAAAGGAACAGCATCAATGATCCCCCCCCATCCCCCTCCCCCCTGCCCCCAATGGGAATAGTAAGAACAAGTTGACAAAGGCATGTTAAACAGTACTGTAATGGAGTGTTAGCACAGATGCCAACTTTGTTAATGTTTTGCAGTGTGGTTAATATTGTGAAGTTATATAAAATCATAAATAAAAACTTTAATCACTGAATAGGGCCTTGGAGAAATAGGGATGACTCCTTTTAGTCTTGGGACTGGAGCTAAGAGGCTAATGGAGCTACAAGTAATGGAAGCGTATGTATGCTAATTAGCATTGTGCAAACTGCATGTCTAAATCCTCACAGACTTGCCTCAAACCACAACAAATTGTTCATTTCAAATAGACATGCTTATGTGGTTTATGACACTGTATGACAAATGACTATAATATATCTATAAAGTTGCAAACAATTGGAAAAGCACTATTTTGTCCATAGATAACAGTACGTCATGTGATGATTTAGGTTAGCAGTTTCCATAGTGCCAGTTGGTGAGGTATAAGTTTCCATTACTTGTTAGCTATATTAGCCATTTAGCTCCAGTGCAAACACCAAACATCTCTTGGCTGTTTGACCTTGTGTACGATAAATTGTGTACATACATTATTTTTGTCAAACTGTCTCCTTACATGATCTTAACTTTAGCAGTAATGTCAATAAAATGTGAACTTTTTCTTTCGAGAACTGACCTCGCATGGAAAACAAAACTTATCCTACAGTATACATCAGCAGTTTCCCCATGTGTGTATGTGCGTGAATGTGCAGTGACCTATCCCCCCTGGCTGCCGCCCCCTCATAGAGACAGGCCAAACAAAGGCTGGGTGGATGTAAGGTTTGGCTCCGGCTCCTCAGCCCCCTCTGCCACACACGGCCTGCGCTTTATGAGCCTCGGCTGGGGGAGCGTCCCACAAGCACACCTTGTCACAGCCTATGTGCTTTCATGGCTGGCTTGGAGGCCTTGTCAGGTCATCACTGCTTTGAGTTATAGCTCACTACTGTTGGCAGGAGAACTGATCTGGTTATCTGTGAAAGCAATGTGCCTCCCCCTGATCCTCATTCCAGCTTACAGTGAAGCTAATTTGACAACAAACCTGTCAGCTTCCGGCCTGTTTCTGTTCTTCTGTTCAGTTCACACGAGGGTTTGGCAAAACACCTAATCTTTGTAAAATCATGAGTAAGATTTTACATGAGAAATTGTGTCTTAGAGGTGAGCTGGCAGATCCATTTCATTTACAAAGAATAACAGAGTGAAAGAAAGTAAATTAAGCAAAAATCAGTCTGCACAAGATTTTTGTCAGATTTTTTTTTCTTTCCTTCTCATGACTGCTTAAACTTCACACATCTGGTTTAGCACCTAAAACTGTCCTGTCCACTCATGTGTTTATGAGACTGTAATACAGAGTAAAATCAGTAGAGTGAAGTGTAAAGCTTGTTTGAATATTAAATCGTAAGCACCTGCTTTACATCATGGACCTCCATGCTTAATCTGTTATACCTTTCAGCCATTCATCGCCAAGCAGAAAGCATATCCTTTCTTTTTTTAAATCCAAATGTGAAACGTTTACAAACCCACCACAAGTGAAATAAGGTAATACCCTTTATTTAAGCCCAATAAAGCATGGCGTCCCCACGCTCTACAACTTTTAGTGTATTTACAATGTGGTGCGCATTAAACAACTGTTTATTATTCCTATTTTTCTGCCAGAAGCTGGATTCCTTTCTCTTCACAGAAACCCAGCTTTCAAAGAGTTCCTGCTTTCAAGAACTTGCAGTCTCGTGCTGTCATG